CTCTCCCCCTGCCTTTTTGCCTTTTGAAATGCTGGAATGGATTAATTCTGTTTCCATGTATTTCAATGGGAAATGGTACTTCGACTTATGAACTTTTCGATGTACGAACGTCATTCCAAAACGGACTGAGTTCGTAAGTCGAGGTACCACTGTATTCAATATTACTTAATACACCTCAAAGCAAAATCAAAGTGGGTCAAATTTAGTCTTTAAAGAGTTAGGATGTCTTCCTGATAAAATAGTTATTTGAGATTCAAAAATAAAGAGCCATTGTTTTTTTTTAAATAATATGTAACAATTGTCCACTTCAGATCAAAAGTCAATTTCTTGGCTACACAACTAAGGGCAAATTCAAATATACGAAAATAGCATACCATATAAAGCTCTGGCATTAACATTTTGAAAGTTTTGGAGTTATGTTTAGAGCAACAATGGGCAACATATTTTTCAATGTTTTAATCAGAACAAAATAAACATTTACTTTTTTGCATCAAAAGTAGCATGAAAAATGTTATTTGGGAGAGTCATTTGAAAACATTTATTGTTATCTTTCCTTTGACATTAACTGTTAAAATTAATTTAAAAGTAGTTCATCATAACACATCACCAACTAACATCAGTATTTCCATGTAATGGTCAATTTGTAGATTGTTTCCTTTATTTTTTCCCCACAATACAGCTAATATGACTTTTTCAGTAATTTTAGTGGACGATTCTGGACTGTGCTATTTTGGGCCATAGATGAGAAAAATACCATTTCCAAAAACTAAAATACAGTATATTTTTTAAAAAAGCAGATCCTACCAGCTTCTTATATACAGGACACCACTTCCATATGCAGATATAGTTCAGTAAGACATAGTACAGTGTCCCATTTTTGGCTATTTGAATAGAACCATATGCCTGGCTACAACTGAATATCAAGCACAAAAGGAAAGAAGGTAACTTGAACACAGTGGAGAAGGAACCTAACCAAGTTTTGCTGGAAGTAGAAAGCAGGAATGAGCAAAGCACTGTATTTTGTGTGAAATGTTTTTCAATTGATTTGCCTGCAAAGTTGCTGAAAAGCACAGGAATAACTGGCACAACAAATGACGGTGGGATTAAGAACTCACAAGCACTGAAGTGACCACTCACCCAGTAAACCGAGTGACAAACATTCTGCAGAGGTTCCTACACTGTGTTTTCAAAGTTAACACTGCCCCTTAGTTCTACAGCTGGGGGAGGGTTTGGTGGGCAGGGAAGGGAGGCAGAGATTTATGTGGCTGGAAAGATTAAATTGTTCTACATTACACAGGAGTTGATGAGTGATGACTTTGCCCCAGGGAATTTAACAGAAGTAGGCATGGTGAAACTTTCTCACACTCTGAAGAACTGAAATAGATCCCATTGGAGATACGTAGTTTTATGTTCAGGGATAGAGGGTGGTGCTGAATGAAGATTCTTCTCAGGAATTACCTCTCCTTGTTTTCTGAGGATGGAGGCCCATGTTCTTATCTTCTGTTCAAATGTAACTCTGTATTCCTGTTTCTACCTTCTGGGAAGGATGCATGAGACTGGAATACCTTTCCCCTTCCCAGTACAGGTAAAGAAAAACTGGGGACCCCCATTTTGGTGAAACATGGTGCTCCTCAACCCCTCTTATGGCTTTAAGGCTACAACCATAAATACACCTACTAGGCAGGAAGTCAAGACATGAGGAAACCTGGACAAGATGGGAATGTTAGATTCTACTGGGAGAACATCTTAGTCCACCACACACAGACACACACAGACACACACACACACACAGAGGGAGAGAGAGAGAGAGAGGTATCTTATAGTTCTGTTAAAAAGCCAAATTTTTGTTTAAATCATATAAATCCAATCCACCATCCTTCTCATTCACTTTCCCTTTCCAAAGATACACATAACTACTGTAGTTTCAAAACCAGTGCTTGTTTTCACCCAACTCCTCATGCCCCATATCACTATTTAGCGGTCAAAAATCTAGAACCTGCAATTTTTATTCAATATCTTTCTCCTTTTAAATAAAAAAAGAGCCTCCTCCTTTTCAAGGTTGAAATAATTATTATAGGTTATCATGAATGGGAAAGGCCAAGTAATTTCAAGGCGTCACGAGGACCCAACAATCAACGCGATGCACAGGTAGGTTCTCCTGGGATCAGGAAGAACCAGATATTTCTGAGGGATATTGTTTGGTGATGGCCTACCACCATCATCACCAAAGCTGTGTACACCTCTACTTAGTCTTGTGATCAAGGCTGTTCTTCTCTTTTGTTTCTGTGCTTTGGAAGGAGGCACTTAAGCGTAGGTACTCAAAAAGAACACCAAAAGCAGACAATATATGTCATAACCTGCAGTAAATCTGAGCGCAAACTGTACCATTTGAGATTACAAAAGGTGGCTCAAATCAAAGCGTGGGCAGCCACGTCACCCCAACATTTAGGGGAAGGGACCTCCTGCATTACCTGTGCTTATGACTCAAGAGCTAAAAAGTTAGAAGTAGCACCAAAATTATCCCTGGCTTCTCTTCCCTGAAAAAGAGGCAATGCCATTGACCTTAATAAGAGGGCAGGTGATGGGATTTGTAGTCTAATACATGTGAACAGCACCGGTATAGGGAAAACTGTTTAAGGGAGTCAGTGTTTATTGTAATGCTGTTGCAGTTCAGTTCCCTTCATCTTAAGCCTATAACCTCCTCATAGCCAACACCTAATGTCTTTCTTTTCTTCAAAAGGAGGCCAACAGTTGCCTCTCTTTTTTCTCTCTCATCTGCTAGACCTCCTGGATAAAGATAGGCTTTTCCATCCTCTTCTATTTCTCTTATTTCTTCAACACACTGTTCTCTCTTCACCCTTGTCCCACCCCACTACTTTCCACTCACTAATAAGATTGCATCCCTCTTCTCCTCCAAAGTGCTCCAGGTGGCACACTTGGTTTTTCTTCTCCCCCATTTTCTCCTGTGAAGTAGAACAAGTTGACAGAGTATGACTGGCCCTGAAATTCAGCCAATGAATTTCAGAACCTGAATGTCTCAAAGTTCTCTCTCAACACTCTAACCACTGCACCACATTCTCAGGCTTTTTTTCTCACTTGTTTCCCTTTTCATTTTGTGCCTCCCTCTCTGATGGAGGATCTTAGGGACGAGTGGCCATGCTGATTCGGGGAATTTAGTAGCTGTAGTCCAAAAATGTAACTTTTCCATCCCTGAGAGTCAAAGTTACAATGTCTCTGAGCAAAATTTCCGTATACAGTGGTGCCCCGCATGACGTCGATAATCCGTTCCAGAAAAATCACTGTTAAGTGAAATTGTCGTCATGCGAAAAACAATTCCCCATTGGAATGCACTGAAACCCATTTAATGCGTTCCAATGGGGAAATTACCTCGTCGTCCAGTGACGATCGCCCATAGGGGAAGCCATTTTCCGAGTGCTGATCAGCTGTTAAAATGGCTGTCCTGCGAAGCATGGGTCTGGAAAACACAGGGCAGCCATTTTGCGGAGCCGGAAAAATCGTCGTTTTGCAAACAAACGGTTCGCGAAGCAAGGACCTAATGAACGTCAAACAAAAATCCTCCATAGGAAACAACATAGGTGCCATATGAAACAACAAAAAAGTCATTGTCATGCGATTTTGTCAACATAGGTGTCATAGGAAACAACAAAAAAGTCATCGTCATGCAATTTCGTCGTTCTGCGGGGTTGCCGTCATGTGAGGCACCACTGTACTATTGTAGCTAATAGCTAGTTCTACACTGGCACTATAGAAATTTATGCGTGTGTTTTTTTTCAGTACCACCCACACATCATGTGACAGTGAATTCTACAGATTAACTATGTCCCAAATGAAACAATTCTTGTTACACTGCCAGCCACTATCACTGGATGCATAACCCATCCCAACCTGACTCCTCATACAAGGAAAGAGAAATTTCTTTCTCCATTTCAGATGGAATGGAAACATGGTCCGATGTGGGCTCAGGAGACATGGGTTCAAATCTCAGCTTGACCACTGATCCTCAATGGAGTGACAGTAATAAAGTATTTCTTGAACATCTTGCATACCTTGAAAATTCTACTGAGGTATCAAAAAGTTGGAATCACCTTAACATATTCCAGTTTACACCACTCACAATTTTATAAGCCCTCCATCCAGTTGTCTATACTGTATATGACGACATGGGTCTGCCATTCCGATGCCTGCGTTTTTGCGCATAACCCTCGCCGCTGGTGGGCCAATCCTAGGCAGACTTCTATGAAAATAAGCACCAGCGAGCATGGCGGAAGCAGCTCTGGGGTGAACACCACGGAGGGGGCCGCGCTGCATGCTCGCTTCCCCAGTGCCAGGATTTACCCCCGAAAACAGGCCAAGGCAGGGCGGACTCAGAAGTGGCCAGCGCAGGTTCCGGCGGCACCTCGTTCACCGCGGGATGCATTACAAGCAGCGATGAAGAGACCCAGGCGCCTCGAGCTGGGGAGGGAGCCGTGGCCCGCCTGGGAGCTCTTCACCTCCCCCCCCACAACACCTGAACGTGCCCGGCCCTGGAGAAGGGGGCAGGGGCACTGCGGGTCTGTGGGGCACCCGGGTTTCCTCTGGGCTTCCCAGAAGGGCGCGGGAAACGCTTCCCTTCCCACCCCCGCCTCTTCTTCTTCCTCCTCCTCCTCCTCCTCTCCCGGCAAGGTGGGCTGGGGCCTCCTCCGCCAAGTCCCCTCGCTGGAGAGAACCAGGGTCGGCTTGGCGGTGTAGGGGGGGGAGAGGCGGGTGCCAAGCTCGGCTTCCCCGTCAAGCACGCCCCTTCGCTCTCCCCTCCGGCCGAGGGCCAACCCTTTGCGGCCACCACCGCCTCACCCGGGGCGCGCTCCTCCTTTCCCCTCCCCGACCCACCCCGGGCCTTCCTCTCCGAGACCGCCAGGGCGAACCAGAGCCGCGGGGCGGGGGCGGCGGCGAAGGCCCCCCTCCTGCAAAGGGAAGCCACCCACCCACCACCCCATACCTACCTCCCACTCGGTACATGTTGGCCGCCATGTCAGCGCTTTGCGCCCTCCTTCCTCCGGCTGCCGCCGCCGCCGCCGCCGCTGTTGTCGTCGCCGTCGTCGCCGGGCTGGGGGAAAAGGGGAGGAGCGCCCAATCCCTGGCTCGCTGCAGCCGCGGCGGTGGGGAGAGCCGGCCCGAACAAAGTGCCAAGCGGGTGGGCCCTGTCTGGGAGAGCAGGGGTTGGGGGGGGGTGCGGAGAGGCGGGCTGAGGAAGCCGCGGGCGGCGAAGGGGTTAAAAGCGAAGCGGCAGGGCCCGCCTCGCTGGGCAGGGCGCGGGAGGGAAGGAGCGTCGCCGCCGCCGCCGCCACCAGCAGGGCGCACGACCGACTCGGGAGTGCGCTGCTATACTCACTCTGGGAGAGGAGGGGTTAAAAGGTTCCCCTCACGCAGCTCTGCCTCCAATGGGCGGGGGGGGGCGGAGGCGACGAGGGTCCCCGGCTGGAGTTGCAAAAAAAGGACGCGTCCCCTGCAGCGGGATCTCCTCTGCGCTCAGGGGCCGCGCACGCCCGTCCAAAGGGGGGGCTCTGTGCGCGCGCAGAAGTAACTAGACAGGTGGATGTCCAGGGCCAGGTGTGCGTGCGCACGGAACTTTATACCTGCGCAGAAGGATCTTGGCAAGTATGGAGTGTAGCCTGTTCTCTAAAGGCACGGGCTTCAGAGTACCATCATGAGTATGGTTTGGTCAAAGTACTTCTGCCTCCCTCTAAGAGCCTGCCCAGGTGATAAGGTCGTCTGGGCAGGGGCCTTTCTCTTTGTCCCCCCAGCTTCACAGGTATGTTTGGTGGGGCTTCTCGCAGAGGGTCTCCTCTGTGGGTGCTCCCAGACTCTGGAAATCCTTCCCAGGGGAGGCCAGGCTGGCCCCAACTGGGCAGGGCTTTCTCTTTGTCCCCCCAGCCTCACAGGTATGCTTGGTGGGGCTTCTTGGAGAGGGTCTCCTCTGTTGCTGCTCCCAGACTCTGGAACTCCTTCCCAGGGGAGGCCAGGCTGGCCCCATCTTTGCTGTCCTTCCACAAACAGGCGACCTTTCGCTTAAAGACAGGTTTTCCCTTGGTGACAGACTGTCTAAGAGAGGTTTTGAAACCAGACGGTTTGCATTTTGTTGCTTCTAAATCTTTTAGTAATGCTTCATCAAACATTTTTCATATAATGTTATACAGTATTAATTCATTTTCTATTTGAATAAATCACTATTTTTAGCTGTAATGTTGTGTTTTGATGATTTAGACTGCCTTGGTCCTTTCTTCGGAGAAAAGTGGGGTAAAATATTTTCAACAAACAAACAAGTAAATTGTGTCGGAAGCATTACTGCAGAGAATGTCTTCTGCTATTTTGGTGCATAGATTATGGCATTTCATATTCCTGCGGTGGATTTCTTCTACGGTGCAACACATTTGCACATGCAGGAGAAGCATTTCTGTAACACATTTGCCACATGGAGTGGAGTGAGAAAGACACGTGCTTAGTAGTTGTATGCAACAAGTGCATTGCTTCGCTGAAGGATTCCTATTATGTGCGCCGTTGGTGTGGCACCTTGGCTACCTGTCAAGCCCATAGGAATGCTTGTATTGTCTGTTTGAACCTTACTCCCAGATGTTCATTTCTGTGATTTACTACATGGGAGGAAAAGGCTGTTTGGCTACATTGTGAAAACTGGCCCTTTTTACATGACTTTTCCCAGAACAATACATCAGAACAAGTCAAATTCTCTTTCCTCCCATCAGCAGTTTGGTGTTGGAACAAGTCAAACTGCTGTAGTGATCATTGAAGCAACAAAACATCAGAGAACTGGTTCAGGCCATGCCAGCTCAATGGTGTGGCTGCTTTTTGGAGGAAAAGTGAAATACCCTGGGGTTTTTGTTGTTGTTCTTGGTTAATGTCACCACTGGATTAGAGCAACAGAACGCAGTTAATTAGACAGGCAAAGCCTCCACAGTTGGACATCACTTGGATTGATTGATTCCTATATTTCTATACCGCTAACCGCTAACTTAGCATACAACAGTACTCTAAGTCAGTAGTCCCCAACCCTGGGCCTCCAGATGTTCTTGGACTACAACTCCCAGAAGTCTTTACCACCACCTCTGCTGGCCAAGATTTCTGGGAGTTGAAGTCCAAGAACATCTGGAGGCCCAAGGTGGAGGAATACTGCTGTAAAGGACATATATACTCCTCAAGTCCTCACCAATGAGGAAAACAACTATCTTGTCTTGGGGACCACTGCTCTAAGTGGTTTATACATAAAACAATAAACCAAAACATCAACAACACAAATATAACCAAAAAAACCCGAAATTAAGACAGTATGGGAATACCTGTAAAAATACAGTATTCCAACTGCCAAGGGGCTTTCAGTGGGTTGGGAGGCTTTTGAGATGCAAAGGGGCCTTGATTAAGAAAATGTCATGACATACAATCTGCTCTAAATGATTCCTAAACGATTTCCCCCTATTTTATTCTTGAGAGAATGCCTTCTATAACTGTATGGTTTAATGTACAGTACATAGAAAACAGCTTGTACTCAAGAATTTGGGTAACAAGTTTCTGAGAGAGGAACATAAAAAGCATAGGATGCATAGACAGAACTTAGTAGTTACCTTATCTCCCCATTGTCTACGTATACCAATAACTTTTCAGCAGCCATAAATACTCATTTGGAATTATTTGCAAATAAAGTGACTGATGATTGCTTGTAAGACATCAGTTGTATTATGTGCAGTGAACAAACCTATTCCTTAGGGTATAAGGGTCTGATTAATTAAAATGGTTTAGTGGAAGTACAGTAGTCTTATGTTGAAACCCTGCTGAAGAGAAAACTGCTGCTATTCTGGCTTACAGATGATGGCAAGCCGTTAATAACTTCCCTACTTCCATTGTGTTAAATGAGTATGTGAGTATTAGCATAATATTTCTTATAAGCCATTCAGCACTGCTTTTTTAAAATATCCAATTTTAATGGGAAATGAGGATTCTAGTCCCAGCTATAAAATAAATGAATGTATGAAATCATAAAAGCCATGTATTGCTCTCTTCCTGCTTTGACAGCAAGTCCAATTTCTATCATATTTGAAGGGATCCCACAGTCTAAAAGGATTTCTGAAATCTTTAGAGTATGAGCCAAAACATATTCTTTTGCTCTTCTCTTCTCACTCAGCCCAGAATTCTTGAACCTGTCACCTTCTCAGATTCTTATCTAAAAAAACAAAGATAATAAAGAAGTAGTTCATAACATAATAGTCATGTCTGTTCAGAACATAAGTGACAATCTGCTTCTATACTGGCCAACTGGATGGCTACAAGCAGGACTTGAAGCCAATACTCTCTCTCGCTTGCATTTCCAAAGAAAGTCAGTGTTTAGAGCAGTAGTTCCCAACCATGGGTACCCTAATGTTCTTGTACTAAAACTCCCAGTAACTCTCACCACTAGCTGTGCTGGCCAGGATTTCCGGGAGTTGTAGTTCAAGAACATCAGGGGACCTAAGTTTGGGAACCACTGATTTAAAGGTACACTGCCTTGGTGTAATAGTTACTAATCATGACTGTGGAGGGCTTCACCTTCCATGAATTTGTTTAATTGGTCTCCTTTTAAAACATTCCAGTTGGCAGCCACCACTGTGTCTTTTTATGAGTTCCACGGTTTTCTTTAAGCAAGAGGTTAGACTCAATGGCCCCTTCCGATTCCTATGATTCTATATAGAAATTTACTACTGAGCTTCAGTGTATGACCCTGGTTTCTGATATGAAAGAAGAAAAATGTCTGTGTGTCCACTTTTTGCACACCATGCATACGTTTGCATGCTTTACCATCTGAGAAGGATCCAGGAATGGGAGGAAGGAGAATTCTAAAGGGATCTGCTTGGCTTTCCAGTTTTGCCTTTAGATGTAGAGCCCATCTTCTAGCCGATTCTCACAGCCCGTATATTGAGCGATTCAGGTGATACACTTTATGTTCTGTGTCTACTCCTGGTAGCTCAAAACCAGGTGCTTGTTCCATATATAAATTTTCCTCCAGTGTGGCATTCAGGTATGCTGTCTGTACATCGTAGTGATGTACATGCCACTGTCGTTGGGCTGCCAGTGCTAGAACATAACGAATGACCCTGGTTTCTGATATGAAAGAAAAAGAAAAATGTCTGTGTGTCCACTTTTTGCACACCATGCATACGTTTGCATGCTTTACCATCTGAGAAGGATCCAGGAATGGGAGGAAGGAGAATTCTAGAGGGATCTGCTTGATTTTTTTTTTCTGCGCAAGGTGTTGTGAAACAGCTTCTGTGACTTTCTAATTACAGGTTTCACTAGCAGGGGATTGCAGCATGAAAAACAACTCTTTCCTCGTGTAATTTTGCAGGTGTTTTTGGATAAGGAGTGCATTGTTAGGATAAGGTGTCATCATATATATATAGGCATCCTTCAGTCTCAAGAGACTATGGTAACATGCTCTGAATCGAGGAGTATCCTCTCCAGAGCATGAAGCCCGGGGACAGTAATATGGAGGGTAGGCTGTTACCCAAGCAGCAGATCCCCCCTCTCCACATTGCCGAAATGATCCAATGGAAAGGCAAGAGCCAATACAACTGGTTCCAGCAATATCGCAGGAGTTGGCAGAACGACACGAGCTGCCTTCGGGACTCCAGCTCCGGATTTTGCCTCTAGGTTAACTCCTGAAGTCTTTTCCATGAGTGGATATAGCCACAAGGCAGTGGAGGTTTGAAATCGGAGTTTTCCTTCTCCTAGATGGGCTGCCTTCCATGGCTGACGAGCCCCACCTACCCGGCCTGCTCTTTAATAGTGCGAAAGTATGATCAGGCCCTTTAAACTTTCCTGCCTCCCAGGCTTATGCAAATCTAATTGGCTTTCCTATTTACCATATTAAGGCCAGACATAGAATTTGAGTGACATTAAGTGGTATGGCATATCTCTGTATACCAACCAGGAGTGTGATAAAAACTATGTCTGCCCCCCATGAGTCAATGTTTGAGTCTTCATATTAGTGACTGAGTAATCCGTAGGTTTGCCACTTCAGTATATTTTTATAGACTGGAACTCCTAGGGCTGCACATATAAAAGACAACTCTCCCGTGGCTTTTTTTTTATTGGTGCATGGTCTGTGGCTGGTGACCAGAG